CATCATTAACCTGTGGCATTAATTATTATAATGTATGGTGATAGCTCTTAATTTGGATGGCTTCACAAAAGAAATGGATGAATTCATGGAGGAAAGGTCTAGTAAGAGCTATTTATTCTAAACGTTCAATATTGCCTCAAAATATCGTTGGGAAAACATTTGGCCATCTACCTACTGCTTGCAAAACTCCCAGAAGACTCTGATTAGCTATTATGGGAAACAAAATACTGGTCTATGGATGTCTTGATCCAGCAGGGTTACCCATCTTATAAAATTAATATAAGAAGATGAGTCATTATTTAAAATTCTTTTAAGAATCCAGTATTTTTGAATTCCAATATAAATATACTTTAACATACCCTGCCTTCAAGGTGAAATGTTTTTATTAAAAATGTTTAATAGTCTACTTTCATATTTTCCAAATATTTTGAGAAAGTTCTTATCAGATATGCCCCAATCAAATCTGATTTAAAGATGCATTTGAAAAGAAACAAAGTTTTTTTATATCTATCCTATTGTTTTAATTAAATATGAAGAAAGGTGCATTAGTAAGGCCATTATAAGCTAGGACATAGTCTATTTTATTTTTAAAATGTTTTAATTGTAGCAAGTCAGCTCTAGTACCAGCACTAAGTTGCTTTATGGAAGTTTAGGATGCATGAGATAAGCTGAAATTTGGTTTTTAGTTGGAAGGATTCATTTAATATTCTGAATAAATGAATTGGACATTGCTCTTGACCTAAATTGTTATTAATATGAACAGGATGCATACAAATGAGTTTTGTAACTTTGAGAGAATAACATCACTGGTCAAACACCACATCCCTGCTGCAAAAAAATCAGGACAACATGAGAATGAGCTGAGCTATACCCTGCCTTTACAAAATGTGGATAAATTTTCAGGTAATTTTCAAGCTGTATAAATAAAATGAATTTAACTGCTGTTTCCTAAAAAACCAAACACTGAGATCATGTGAACCATGCTTTCCCGGACAACAGAGAAAAGTTGTTTAATATTATTTTCTTACCAATCCAGATGAAATTTTGTATTATCCAATGTTCTATCCTTTGAGCAACATACAGATTAAAATGTAATAAAACCATTTAAAAATTAAGTTTGCAATTAACATTTCATATGATTAACCACATGAAAACAGAGAACCAAAGAATTTAATCAACTGCTCTATCATATAAGACATATCTTTTACAGACAAAAGCCATTATCATTACATGACAGTAAAATGAACAATCACAATTCTAACTTTGATTAATTAGATTTATGAAAATAAAAGGCCCCTCACCAATATAGCAATGCAAATTTGTTGTCTAAGTAACCATGCATTTATAATATGTGATGAATACAATGTATTTTTTTTGTGTCAGAGTATATTTTTGCTCTTTTATCAATTTATAAACTATGGTTACATAGAACAATATTTTATTTCACTATTAGGGAATTAATATTATACATATTTATATCATATATACTTTAAAATAATAATAACAGATTCCCTGTCATGACAGTCTAAGAAAACAATAGAAAAATAGAGTGAATTGACTTGACTTGAATTTTCAAAGAGAATAAAATGTATTCCAACCCAGGCTCAGTTTAAATTAATATGTATCTTTCAAATACTGTACTGTTTTTAGTAATCTACTAATATAAATTTGCTTTGGAAGCAATGAATATATTAAATAATACAATGATTTCAATGGCTTTTAAAAATGTCAGCATATTACCCAATGTCCTTTTCACAATCCTGTGATGAAATCAGTTTCTGTGCTAAATTAACCAGCATACTTCTTATTAAATTAGTCTGCTCTTTAGATAATCACATAATACTATTGTGCATTAATTAGTAAATAAAAACTTCATATTTTTCTCTCTTTTTCTCTCTTGGGCAAAACTGTCCCTCTTGCAGTTATTCACAGCTTTTTAAAATAAAGAGTTATCTTTTCATTTACAAACAGTCGCTTAATAAACAAAGAATAATATTTTTTTTAAATGATTCTGTAAGTAAAGTAAAATAAACCAAAGTTCTAAAATGAACTTTGCCTTCATTGGATTGATTGTTTATATGCTTCTGAAATGGTGTTGATGTATGGTGGATATATTGATTAACTTTCTCAGACTATAACTGGTTTGTTATAGGCTCAGGAGGTAAAAAAATTAAAAGCAAATCTTAAGAACAGTTCACCTAAAATATCATTTTCTTTCAATGAAATGAAATTACACAAAATTCCAATGGGTATTTGCCCTTTCCCTTAAGTTGAAAGGATATATCAATTTGGTATGTGTTTTCCCTTGCCCAACATGTAGATTTGTTCAGTGATATGGATCATCAGACAAACCTAGGGCTCATTAATTATGGAGTTACCATGACGACTTTGGAAGATGTCTTCTTGAGGCTAGAAGGAAATGAAAATATAAAGGAAGAAGGTAAAGTGTTGTTTTCAATATTGTATTATTTTCAGGCTTCCTTCTGAGAAAACTCTCAGTGATAACTATGGAGCTGGATTTTCATTGTTTTCTTCTATCATTTCTGAAGACCCAAGGGAAGGTGCTAGACTGATCTTTTGGTAAAAGGAGATGTAGCCAACAGGAAGAAGAGGACTTGAGAAGAGGAGAGAGTAAGCATGGATAAACAAGATTTTCCTTCAGCTGAAATAAGACTATTGTTTTGACTTTCAAAATGGTTTTAGATTATGGAATTCTTCATGGAGGGGAAATGGCAGGAAAGGATGAAACGGAACAGGATCAGCTGTTGCTCTCAGACACGGGAAAGGTGACCGTGAAAGGCACAGAGCTCTGGAGGCAGCAAGTTTATGCCATTGCAAGAATGCACTTTCTAAACCTCAAGAGGGAGAGCAAAATCTGGGGAACCTTGTGAGTGTCTTTTTTAAAAATGATTTATCAATTTTATCTATAATGAGAAGACTAGAGTCATAGGCTGGGATCATTGAGTTTGGATGCCTCCGTTAACCTTGAATAAGCTAAAGAAAAAGCAGGCTTTAGTAACACTTCAAAGTTGCAAACCTACAGTGGTTAGGAACAAAGTTCAAGAGGAGATAATGATATTTCACATTTCTCCCTCCAAGTTTGGAAAGAGAACAATGATCTCAGATAGGGGACATTCATCCAATGACTCCAGCTACTTCATCCCCTTGCCATGCTTCCAAATTACCACAGTACTTATTCTACCCAAGCCTAGAGCTGTTATATTTACATTGCTTCTTCTTGCTTGTCAGGGAAGGAAATTATTTACAGCAAATCCAGCATCCAGTGAGACAAGCCAAAGTTCAGTTCAGCCAAAATCAGAAATTTCAATAGTTTCATCATTCAATCTTTACATGACAACAGATCAATTTGTGTCCATGCCTTATGTTGGTTCTTATTTTTTTAATTTAGAAAAGTATCTTTGTGTTGTTATAAAATAATTTCAAAGCCTCCAAAATACCATAGGAGCACTTGGGTAGATAATACTACAGTATTTTGAGATTTTGAAAATATAGTATTTATTATGTAGATCAGGGGTCCCCAACCACCGGGCCCCAGACCGGTACCGGTCTGTGGATCATTTTGTACCGGGACGCCTACTTTGCTTGGGCGCTGCCATCTTGTTTTGACGGCGCTTGAGAAAGTGCTTCAGAAAGCCGTCAGAAAGCGGCGTTTGGGTGCTGAAGGAATCTTCGCGCCTTAGTTTCGTCGAAGGGGGGGGGCGGCTTCGAACGAAGAGCCATCCCGATGGTGGTGGAGTCTCGCATTACTCAGGAGGAGATTAAGAAAGAGCCCTGTTAGATCGGGTAGATCGGGTTCATTGAGACGCGAGACTCACAGTGAACAGTCAGCTCTTTATTTAGTATTTAGTTCTGAACAACAAATGCGAGCCGCGCAGCTTTTCTTATAGCGCTGACCAGCGGCTCGGCGGCCAATGACAGCGCTTTGAATCTCTCGCGATCGGCTCAGCCAATCGCGGTAGATCCTTAGCGCACCAATCACATTTGTTTAGTCAGCCAATCAGGTTGCGGTCCGTGCGGACCAATCAGAATTCAGGATTTGGAGAATGTTAATATAGAACACCCCTCCCCTCTTGGTTTCGCCCGACGGAGCGTGGTGACGTAGTCGCGCAGGTAGGCGGGGCTTCGTACCTGCCTAGTTGACTTGCGCGGCTCAGTATGTGTTTGGTTGCCAACCAGTTCGGACGGGCTCCTCGTCGCTCTCAACCCCTTCGATGGAACTGCCTGGAAGGGTGAGCCGGGCCTATGGCTGCAACTCCGACCCGGTCTATCCGGGTTGGTCGAGTTGTCAGCTTCGCTGTTCCCACCCGGTCTCTCTGGGCTGGTTGAACTGGCTTGGCTGCTCCTTCCAGGTGAAGCTCCCGTCTGCAACGGTTCGAGGTTTTCCGGTGAGTATGGTTGGTTTATTGCTTGGGGTTGGCTTGTTCTGGTTGGGGGGTGTTCTGCTTGCGTTTGGGGGTGTTCTGCCTACGTTTTAGGCCTTTCTTCTTCCCCTTGCTTGGTTGTTGAGGTCCCCCCCCTCTGGTTTCTTTAGTTGTTGTTTGCGGGGTCTCCGGGCTGTTAGCGGTTAGTCTTGACCGTAACTGGTCGATGTGCCGCTTCCAGCTTCTTCCGTCAGTGGTTTGCAGTCGGTATGATCGGGGGCCCGTTACCTGGGTAATTTGTGCCGGTACCCAGAGTGGGTCTCCCATGAAATTTTTTGCGTAGACGGTGTCTCCGATGTTAAATGTTCGATGTCTGCTGGATGAGTCTGGGGTTTTTTCTGGGTTGTATGTGGGGTGCAGTCGGTCTAGTGGGGACCTTAATTTTCTGCCCATCAGTAGGTCTGCTGGGCTTTTATTCGTGGTTGTGTTAGGTGTAATGTGCTGTATGAATAGCATTTTATTTATTTTTTCTTGTATTTCGCCGGTTTCTACTTTTTGGATGGTTTTTTTTGTGTACTGAACCATGCGCTCCGCCCGCCCGTTCGCCGCCGGGTGAGCGGGCGAAGTTAAGGCGTGCCTTATTCCCCGTTCGGCCAGGTATTTTTCAAATGCTAGTGCCGTGAACTGTGGCCCGTTGTCCGACCCTAGCACATCTGGCAACCCGTGTGTCACGAAAAGTTTGTTCAGTTTATTTATTACGGCTTCCGTTGTTGTTGTTTTCATGGTGCTTACTTCCAACCAGTTGGAGTAAGCATCCATGGTGATGAGAAATGTGTGTCCCTTGGTGGCCCTGGCGAAGTCTATGTGGATTCGTGACCAGGGGCCTCTGGGGGTTTCCCATTCCAGGACTGGTGCGGCGGGAGGGGTGGACCTAGTCTCCTGGCACCTTTTGCAAACGGCTACCCAAGTCTCGATTTGTTTGTCCATCCCTGGCCACCAAGCGTAGCTCCTGGCCAGGGCTTTCATCTTGACGATGCCCGGGTGCCCCTCATGCAGCATCACTAGTACCCTTTTTTGTAATGTTTCTGGTATAACCACCCGGTCTCCCCAAAGTATGCACCCCTTCTGTGTGAACAGTTCAGTTTGCTGGTTCCTGAAGGCTTTGAATTGTTCGTTGTAATCGCTTTCCGGCCATCCTCTCTCTACCCAGCTCAAGACCCACGCCAGCCGTTTGTCTTTATTTGTTTCTCGGGCAATGTCTGGCGTGGTCAGGAGTGGGCTGGGCAGAGTCTCTATTTGCAGGGTTGTTGTTGTGGGCACTGGGTTGTCCTCCAGGTCTGGTAGGGGGGATCGGCTCAATGCGTCTGCATGTGAAATGTCTTTGCCGGGCCGGTGTGTCAGCTGGTAGCTGTAGGCGGCAAGAAACTCAGACCACCTTGTCATCCTGGGTGACAGGATGTTCGGGGTGGCCTTGTCCCCTGCCAATATCCCTAGTAACGGTTTGTGATCTGTAATGATTGAAAAGGTCCTACCGTAGAGGTACTTGTTGAACCTTTTCACTCCGGAGATGATTGCTAGGGCTTCCTTGTCCAGCTGGCTGTAATTCCTCTCCGGCTTGGACAGCGTTCTCGAGAAGAAGGCGATGGGTGCTTCTTTCCCGTTTGGTAACGTGTGGCTGAGGATCGCCCCGACGCCAAAGGGTGACGCGTCGCACGTTACCGTCAGCGGCAGGGTCTCGCTATACTGGATAAGGACTGTGTCTGATGTTAGCAGGTTTTTGGTCTGTTGAAATGCGTTTTCCTCCCGCTTCCCCCAAGTCCAGGTGGCTGTTTTATCCAACAGCCTATGCAAAGGTTCCGCCGCGGTCGCCTTTTGGGGTAGGAAAACATTATAAAAGTTAATGAGTCCCCAAAATGCCTGCAATTCCGCCTTATTCTTTGGTGTGGGGGCTTCCTTGATGGCTCTAAGTTTTTTCCCGGTGGGGTGGATCCCGTGTCGGTCTAGGAGATACCCCAAGAATTCGACCCTCTCGGTGCAGAGTTGGCATTTCCCTTTTTTAACTTTAAGGCCGGAGTCTTTGAATTTCTGCAGCACTGCCCTTAGGCGGGTTTCCAATTGTTTTTTGTTGGAGGCTGCCACCAGCACATCATCAAAGTAGGGCACCACTCCTTTTATTCTCTGGAGAAGTCTTTCCATGAGGCTCTGGAAGACTCCTGGCGTGACGCTGACTCCGAATTGGAGTCGGTTGCATCGGAAAGCCCCCTGGTGTGTAACAATCGTTTGCGCCTCAGCGGTTTCGGCGTCGACCAGCAGCTGCTGGCAGGCTTGAGCCAGGTCGAGCTTCGCGAAGACCCGGCCTCCCCCCAGTGAGTGCAGAAGGTGCTGTACCACTGGGATGGGGTAGGCACTTTGCTGCAGGGCATGGTTGAGGGTAGCCTTATAGTCACCACAGATTCTTATGGAGCCATCCGGTTTGATGGGGGTGACTATGGGTGTTTCCCAGCGGGCATGGTCAATTGGCTCTAAGACCCCTTGTGCGATGAGCTTGTCTAGCTGCTCATCGATCTTGGGTTTGTGCGCAAATGGCACTCGCCGTGGTTTAAGGCGGATTGGGGCAACATTTGGGTTAAGGTTGAAGGAGATAGGGGCCCTTTGGTACTTGCCTAGGGTGTCGTCGAAGACCTCCTGGAAGTCCCTCACAAGCGCCGCTTCCCAGTCTGCCTCGTCGGTGTGGTGAACGCCCGTCACCTCGATTCCCAGCGGGGAAAACCATTGCAGTCAGAGTAGGCTGGGGCGGTCCCTGTCTACGATCGTGAGTGGCAGTACCTCAGTGTGGCCTTTGAAGGTGATCTTAAAATGTCCGATGCTGACTACAGGGATGCGGTTTCCCTGGTAGTCCTTCAGTGTCAGCTTTTGGTCGTCCAGTTCGCGGAGGCGGATGGTAGGCACCAGGAGCTTGATTGTGCGCCAAGAGACCATGGAGAGGTAGGATCTGGAATCCACCTCCATTTCGCATAGTTGGTCCTCGATGCCTACCTCCACACGTACCTTCCGGGCATCGAGGGTTGAGGAATGGCCGATGACGACCGTCTGGTGGGTTTCCTCTCGTCGCTGCGCCTCACTGAGTCATTTGTTCCGGCCGTCTCGGCTCCATCGGCTCTCGGCTTGGCGGTCTCGGTTCCTGGGGGGTGCCGTCTCGTTGCCGGGGGCTGCTGCCTCATCGCTGGGGGCTGTAGTTCCGCTTGTTCCGGCATACCTTGGCGATGTGCCCCCGCTTCTCGCAATGCTGGCAGATGGCATCGAGAAAATGGCATTTGGAGCGGGGGTGATCGCCGCCACAGCCGGCACAATGGAACCCTGACTTACGTCCCCTCCGGTCCCGCCGATCGCGTTCCGCTTGGAGCCGGTGGATCTCCACCTCCTCCTCGTCGGTGTCGGAGCGGGAATCGACGTCGCCATGGTGGGTGGTCGTTGCCCGGTGGCTGGTCTCTGTGTGTCTCTCCGGTGCTGGGATCATCTCGATGGTCGTCGGTCGATCCATCGTGTTCGCTTGCCTCATCCGGGCCGCCGATTTGTGAGTGGCCTCGGCTGCAGTCACCTCTGTGAGGGTGTCGGCGAGGGAGATGTCGCCCTTGGCCATTAGCCTGCTCTGTAGAATGGGGTCTCTGAGTCCGAGAACGACTCAGTCTCGTAGGGCTTCGTCCAAATCGGTAAACCCGCACAGGCCTCCGAGATCCCTCAGCTGGGCCACGAAGTCGCTGATGGCTTCGCCCTCGCTCTGGTCTTGCTGGTAGAAATCGTGCCTTTGGGTAGGCACGGCAGGAGCGTAATGGTTTCGTAGGATGGGCTCGAGGTCAGCCCAGTCCATTTCTTTTACGTCGGTGGGCTTTGCCAATGCTTTGGCCATCTTGAACACTGCGGGCCCGCAGTGTGTCAAGAACATGGCTCGCTTTCTCTGCCCATTGGCATCCTTAAGGTTGCTGCACTCCAGGAACATCTGGAACCGGTCGGTGTAGGATTCCCAGTCCTCGGTGGCCGGGTTGAAGGGAGCGGGTGGCGAGGTGCTGCTGGCCATTTTGCTGGTCGTTTCGCGCTGTTTGCCACGTGCTTTTTGGTCTCTCATCTCACGATCCCACCCTCGTCGCCAGTGTTAGATCGGGTAGATCAGGTTCATTGAGACGCGAGACTCACAGTGAACAGTCAGCTCTTTATTTAGTATTTAGTTCTGAACAACAAATGCGAGCCGCGCGGCTTTTCTTATAGCACTGGCCGGCGGCTCGGAGGCCAATGACAGCGCTTTGAATCTCCCGCGATCGGCTCAGCCAATCACAGTAGATCCTTAGCGCACCAATCACATTTGTTTAGTTAGCCAATCAGGTTGCGGTCTGTGCGGACCAATCAGAATTCAGGATTTGGAGAATGTTAATATAGAACAAGCCCGAAAAGCCCATCGACCATGAGAAGGTACAAAGGAGGAGTTGAAGGTGGCGGGGAGAAGCGGGGGATGGCTGGCTGGCCAGTCGCTCGGCTCGTCTTGCCTTGGTCATGCGTGCTGATGCCGGTACCGGTCCGTGGATCATTTTGTACCGGGCCGCTGGTCCCTGGTACAAAAAAGGTTGGGGACCACTGATATAGATGCAAGTAGTCCTTGATGTACAACAGTTCATTTAGTGACCATTCAAAGTTACAACATCACTGAAAAAAGTGACATTTTTCACTCTTACATTGATTGCAGCATCCCCATGGTCACATGATCAAATTCAGACAGTTGGCAACTAACTTAATTTATGAGGTTTGCTGTGTCCCAGGATCACGTGACCATCTTTTATGACCTTCTGACAAACAAAGTCAATGACTAAATCCGATTCACTTAACAAATGTGTAACTATCTTAACAGCTGCCATGATTTACTTAACAACTGTGGCAAGAAAGGTTGTAAAATGGGGCAAAACTCATTCAACAAATGTCTTGCTTAACAACATACATTTTGGGCTCAATTGTGGTCGTAAGTTGCGGACTACCTACTACTTAATTAGTAATAGAATATTCATTCAATTGTTCCCCAGGAGATTACTGTAGTGTAAATAAGTCTGACCAAAGTAATTTTTAGGATTAGTTTATGGCTTCCTTCAATATATAGAGCACAGAAGGGAGATCTCAACAAGTAGGAAACATCTACTTCATTTCTACTTCCACAAAGCTACTTTGCTCTTAAAAACATTTTAAAACTTTGATATAAATAAGAGTCTGTATGGAAGAATCAAGTTTGTCTTGGGTCCTTCAAGAATTCTGATAACACACTTCATTAATTATCAAATACTTCTCTATAATGCCTAATATTATAAATGCAATAGAATGGAACTGATCAAACGTCACTTTTCTCCCATGCTTAATATTTCATTATCTTAGGCTGCTACTTACTGGAGTTATATTAGCACCTTATATTATCGAATTTATAACCTACTATGTTTGGTTGAATCTTCAATATGAAGAGATTCATCCTGGGCTTTATTTTGAGCCAGGGAAACAGTTTTTCAGAGGGACATCAGGACTTCTGGTCCTTAATAATACAGGTAAGAATGCAAAACAGAATTTGAGACATTGACAATTGTATGATATTTTTAATGGGGGTTAATTCTATTGGCGCTTAAATTGGCTTGAGAACTTTCTCTTGAACATGAGCTGAACTTAAATCTGCTGAAGAATAAATCAGTTATTTATGAGATAGTTGGTGCCTTACTGATGCTTTATATCTAACTTCAGAATGCAGTAGAAAGAACTAGCAGAATTCTAAGGTGAACTATCTCTGTTCAAATGCATTGCTAAATAATTCCAGTTTTAAGAACTTTTGGCACAGTCTTATTTTTAAATGATCTGATTGGAGAAAATCAGGATGAAACACAAGTGGTTTGTGCTGGGAAATCCCACCTTTTTCTACCAGCTAAAGTGAGAAGGGACTATGGGAAAAAGAAGTTGAGTCGCACACTGAAACTTCAAGAAGATACTGAAATATAGTGGAAAGTTAGCTCAGATACAGCACAATCAATCTAAAAGGAGATTCTCTCCCTTTTCTCTCCTATTCCTTTACTGAACTAGGACACATTTTAATCCAACACAGTTTCAACCATGTTTTAGCCATTTAGAATCCAATGGTTTGTTGGCTTAAAATATCTACAATGAATGAATACTAAAATTTATGAGTTCCAAATTGGGAATCTCTCCCTTTAGTGTTGGTTTACAAAACACAAATTAAAAAAAGCCCAGCAGAAAATGGGTATACTGCAATGGAGGTTTAATTCAATGAGCAAATTGTGCAGTCTCTCTTATTCTTAAAAGGCATTCGGAAACCAGCATATCATTCAGGAAATATTGTATTAAGTAATATGGCCAATTAAATAACTAGAAAATCTCTCTAAAATTGTTCCTTCTAAAGTGGTAGGTCTTCTTATAATGATTGGCATGCTAAGCAATTTAAATTCCTAGAGACAATGTCTGCGGAATTATATTATCTTAAAGTCAGTGTAAAAGAATTATACCTTTATACTGTATAAGCTTCATTAAGGGGAATTACACTGGCTGAGAAATTGTACTCATCAATGTTTGAAGGCCATGGTTTCCCATGCTAATGGCAGGTACAAATATAATTTCATTTAATTTCATTTGATTGCTTGGATGCTTTCTTCTTTGTTTATCCTGCAAATTCATTTTATCTTTTTTTTCCAGGTGGAAAAATCGATAATTTTATCCAGGCACTGAAGAGTCAAAACATCTTGATGGACGTCATCTCTGGTGACATAGTTAGTGACCAGCTGGTTCACAATGGGGCCATCAAAGTAGACCTTGAAAACAAGGTAACTATAAGTTCTTTTCCTCCTTTTTGACAATGGACCTAGGAATCTAATATGACTGTCTGAGGAGATGATAACTTCTATTCAAGAAAGCACTGTGGTGCTTTAGTGGAGTCATAATAACAGAAAAGAAAAAAAAGACTACTTCTTCATCTATAATCTAAAATGGACCCCAAATCCTAGAGAGATGCTAAAGAAACAGTAACTTCTCATCAAAAGGAATAGAAATATACAGTATTTCTACTAGGGGTACAAATAACATTGTATAGATGCAAAGAAGGATGTTGTGTGGAAAATTGTAGTATTTTCAATATGATGAATTTTTATTTTACTACTGGTATGTTAAGAATGTGGATTTTTTTTAAATGATCAAGACTGGTTTCCATTCTGAAAAATAATTTAAAATTCTATTAAATTTCTAATGACACTTCTGTGGGATGGCTGTGTTCTGCTTTAATGGATGGTCATACATAAGGCATAGTATATATATGTCAGAGGTCCACAACGTATGGTCCAAAATGAATGGCCAGAGTTGTCAGCATTCCAGAAAAACTCGACTGTAACACATAACTCCGAACCAGACATGTTCTCAAAGTTCCCTTTTATTAGAGTAGTAAACTGGCACATCTGGGAAATCCCGAATCTGAAAGTCCTGGGTTTCCCCCCAATAAGTAAAATAACAAATTCACCTCCTGCCCCCATCACTCCAGTCACCATCCATCCCAACTTGAGACGTCCCCTCTACTACTCCTCAGCCAGGTGCAGGAACAATATGACCTTGACTCTAAAGAAGAATGCTATTATGTCTAACCACACACGCTCCATGAAAATCCCCCCTCCCACCTTCCCAGGCTCAAGAATGTGGCAGCGTGGAAGCTTCTGGTGCTAATATGGCTTCCAAAGCTACTAAACTGAAAGTATACAATACGTCTGGAATAATCATACTGTTACTAATTTGTCCTGGTCCTGCCTACTTCTTTGTTATGATCCCACATAAATTTAGGAGGAAATTAAGAGTTCAATTCAAAGGCCAAATTAGATCTTAGCTTCAAAAAGGTGCATTCATAATTTTTGCCTTTTTTCAAATTAGAAAAAAAAGCCAAATGGCTTTTATTAGAAGTTAAGTTTGTAATTGTGTAAATTACCGTATTTTCCGGCGTATAAGATGACTTTTTTGCCCCGAAAAACATGCCTCCAAGTGGGGGGGTCGTCTTATATGCCGGTATATCCACTGCCGGCTTTCGGATGCTTGTTGGACGCAGCGAAGGCGCCTCTGGCTTCCCGGATCCCCTGCGTCGCTTCCGCTTCATCCCGCTCGCCTCGCTCCGCCCGAGGCTGCAGCCTTCCTGCTCCTCCCATGGCCCCTGGCACTCCGCCCTGCCGCTGCAGCCCTGGGGATTTCTGGAGGGCGTTTCCGGTGGTGGTGGGGGGTCGTCTTATACGCCGGCAAATACGGTATATTCTTTAGAACTGTTGTTCTTTACTTGGGTCCCTTGTGTTCTGACTTTTTGCCTTGGTTCAGAAATACAGGTTCACACTTATGTGCCATATGGAGATAACTAACTGCTATCCTGTGCTTGTCAACATAATCAGCAATGCATTTCTGCATATGTTTAATTCTACTGCCCATCTTCGAACCTGGAGTCATGTATTTACCGAAGTAAGTGTTCCAGAGGAATATCAAATGAAGGGTTTTTGTGTGTGCATGAAGCAGCAGGGGAAATATTCCTGTTTACTTTCCAATATATTCTATTCATAATTTTCAGGATATTATGTAAAGGTAAAAGGAGATTGCTAAGAAGCTTCAGTGGTGGGAGAGTTTAAAATGTTCAAGGAATATCTCCTGCAATCTTGTCC